TGGGGGGAAAACACCTGGGGGACACACAAGCGGGGACACACACCTGCAATACACACATACACCTGGGGGACAGACACCTGGGGGGACACAACCGGGAACACACACCTGCGATACACACACACACCTGGGGACACAAACACGCACCTGGGGACACACACCCTGCGGGGGGCACACACCTGGGGGGACACACACCTGAGGGACACACCCTGAGAGCAGTGACCAATCCAGGCAGGTTTCACCCCAGAAAACCTTGACATCAGCACCCTGTGACATCAGCACCCCATGATGTCACAGCCCCGTGACATCAGAGCCCTATGACATCAGAGACCCATGATGTCAGAGCCCCGTGAGGTCAGAATGAAATACATCAGCACACAAGGTCCAAACAGGCACTTTATTGGGGTCAGGATGGAGCCTCCACGTGCCCCAGGACCGTGGGGACCCTGCCCTGACGGCCTGGAGCCCTTCCCGGAGCTCCTGGAGCCCTTCCCAGACCCCCCGGAGCATCCGAGATGGCTCAGGACACGCTAAAAATGAGCATTTCCGCGCTGAGCATCAGCCCTGCAGCTTTCAGCAGGTTTGGGGGGGTTTTCCTCGCCCTGATCCAGGGAGTATCATGGAGCGAGCAGGTTGGAAGGACCAAGTTGTGGCTTAGAGCGGCACGAGTTGCGTTTCTAGAGAGGGAAGAAGCGCTGATAGGCCTAAAAAGGGATCATTAATGCCTCGAATGCAGAGCTGGGCCCTGCAGAGGTGCAGAGCAGCTCATGCTTGGAGGGAGGAAGGACCCAGGGCATGGAGTGAAGCTTTTCCCGACACCAATCCCCCCGGGAGAGCTGTTCTCGCTCGGAGTCATCCCCCAAACCCACCGGGGGGGGGTGGAGGGAGAGCCAAATGCAGCTGGGCCAGGGCGACAGCACCCGATTACTGGGAGAAAACAACCAGTTCAGCTCCTCCTGGAGTGGGGTGGGATGTGCCCAGGAGCAGCACTGGTGTGGGCAGGATGTGGCCAGAGCCCGTGGGCGATGTGTGGGCTGGTCAGGCCTCATTAGCACTGACGAGCATCTTCATTACCACCCCCAACACTCATCCCCAACCCCCCAAATCATCATCAACCCCAAAGTCTGAGCGACTTCCCTCCTGGGGGAAGGAGTCAGAGGTCCACGGAGGTGAATTCCACGCGGGACAGTGCTGGGTCTGATCCTGTGCAGGGGCTGGGGGTGGTTCTAGGCATCCCCCTGCCCTTTGTTGGTCTTCTTGAGCAGCTTCTTGAGGTTGGGGGACATGAAGTAAGGCTTCTCGGCGGAGCCGTCATGGCGCTCCAGGTCCTCCACTGCAAAGAGAGCCACGGCCCCACAGAGGGGCAGGCACAGAGTTGGGGTGGGGGAGGCTCGAGGGGCTCTCCTGCTCCTCCAGCACTGGTCCTGGACCAGACAGAGCCTCTGGGCTCATTAGGCAGAGTCCCTGTGCTGCTGGTGGGTGGAGAGGCTCTTCCTCTGGCACAGCAGTCACCCCCAGGCACACAGATCCTTCCTCCCATTCCCAGGCAGTGCCAGGAAAGGGCCACAGGGATGTAGGGAAGAGCAGGAGTTTGAGTGTTTTGTTTCTCAGAGGAGAGAGCTGAGCAGAGCAGAGGGAAGGGACATCCCCCCGGCTCTGCCCAGCAGCTCCAGGCACAGGCACAGGGAGGTGTGTGCCCAAGCAGGGAAAACAACACCCCAGAGCCAAACACACACAAAGCCACAGGCTCAGAGTGCCCAGGGGTGTTTTCAGAGGGATTTGGGTGCTCCTGGGATGGACGTGGGAGCGTCAACACTGTGGCTCTGTCCCCGAGGGCTCAGCTCAGAGCTGGCTCAGGCTCTGGGAGGGGAAGCTCTGACTGAGACTGAGCCTTTGTTGCTGCTCAACACTGATCATTCCTGGGCTTCCAGAGGGGGAAAATGTGTTTCCTCGGGGGGCTCAGTGTCTGGGGTCACACACTGAGCAGCACACACACAATTCCTCAGCCCCGTCCCACTCTGCAGCCTCACCTGGAAACCATGGGAGGTTTGTGGTTTGCATAGAGAAGGGCGAGGAAAAGGCAAGGAAAGGGGTGAAGAAAGAGCGAGGAAAGGCATGAGGAAAGGGGTGAGGAAAGGGCATGGAAAAGGGTGAAGAAAGGGCATGGAAAAGGGTGAGGAAAGGCAAAGAAAAGGGTGAGGAAAGGACAATAAAAGAGTGAGGAAAGGGCAAAGAAAGGGATGAGGAAAGGACAAGGAAAAGGACAAGGAAAAGGCATGGAAAAGGGTGAGGAAAGGAAAAGGGTGAGGAAAGGACAAGGAAAGGGGTGAGGAAAAGGGTGAAGAAAGGACAAGGAAGGAGGTGAGAGTAGTTCCACTGCTCTTGGCTGGGGGCAGATGCCGAGGAAAGCACCCAGAGCCCATGTGGGGTGGTGGAACTCCCTGGCTCATCCCACAAACCCACACCCCACATCCTGCAGGCACTGCCAGCCCGTCCACGGCCACTGGGCAG